TGAAAAGCATCATACTCAGTAAATCCATGTGCATACAGAATACTTGAATGCTCCTGGACATTTCAAGACAAGATAATCCATCTCATTTTTCCCTCAATTGATTGAAAAATTCAACCTTTCTGCCATGGCTGAATACATTTCTGCAGTAATTCTGAACTAAATGTTTAAGACCATTTTCAATTTTAGAAAATGAGGGAACAATGGAAAAAGAATAAAATGTATGATCATATATAGGAATCTTAATGACCACAAACTTTTTCATACCCTCAGCACATTTTATTTTAATAATCTCAGTAAAACAGAAGCCCATCAAAACTTGAGAACAGGCTTTATTTCATTAGTTGAAATGCAAATTGCATTTTCAAAAGCATAATCTGATTTGGGTTGAGTTGGTTTCTTCACTTGGTTTTATATATGCCAGTAAAATAATCAAACTTTGCACCACATTAAATTGCTCATATACAAAACTGTAGAATTAATGAATTATGCTTGTGTACATATTTCTTAGGCACTGTTTGCACCAGTGAGATCAGCTGAGAAGGCTTATCATGAAGCTCTAAACACAGAGCAGATCACTGTGTCCTGCTTTGACAAGGCTCATCAAATGGTGAGCTATATATAGTCAAGAACAAAATCAAGAGCCATGCACTCACATAAAAGCAGAGAAAAAAAATCATAACTTGGGGGATTCTTTGCAGGTAAAATGTGACCCAAGTGATGGTAAGTACATGGCAGTGTGTTTGCTGTACAGAGGAGATGTGGTACCCAAGGATGTGAATGCAGCCATTGCAAAGATCAAGGCCAGGAAAAGCATTGAGTTTGTGGACTGGTGTCCAACAGGCTTCAAAGTAAGTTTTTTGCTCTATTAAGGGTTAAAAATAGACAATTGCTGAAGTCAACTTTAAAAGCCAAATATTGTAAATGTGATTGCCTTCAGATCTGCTATAGCATAACATTTGACTTTGATATGCAACAGTTACTTGAACAAACTCTTGACAGTTTTGCAATATAAGTTCATTTTGGTATTTCACTCAATAACATATACCACTAAATTGGTGGTGTGACTGGTATTTACACATTTACACACATGATGAACAGAGTATATAATCTTCTAACATCTGAAAAGACAGTTATAATACAGTATATAGATATGCCTTAAAAAAAAACAATAGTGATTGGAACACATACCAAAGTCTCAAAAAGATGAGTTTTTTTGTACATGAAAAAAAAGAATTCAAGGGGATTTAGCCTACCTTTTATAAAAGAAAATAACTGTTTTCTCATTCTACTGTACTATATTAACTCCAGCTCCAGAAAAATTCATAGCAACCTTCACTTGTGGAACAAAATCTGTAACTGTAAGTAAGCCAAATTAGAAATCATGTTTGCCTTCAATTCATCTGCATATATACATAGTGTACAGTGCAGTGTTTTGAAATAGTGAAGTAAAAGTATTCAGCAAGTTGCTCATGCTATTTCATCACACCTTGCTAATTTGAATTTGAATAATTGATAATATGACCAGCATGCAGTGCTGGCAAGAAAAGTTTTGTTCCTTGTTATTGTAACCCAATTTTTATTACAAAATGACACACTTCTCTTACATATATGATCAGCTGTAGTTTAAGCATATTTCTTGCTGATACATACATCAGCAGCAGCACATATAATGTTGTTATTGCAGCAATACTAAACTAACAATAATGCTCACAGCATAGGCTCATCATACAAGGATTGCAGCAGTCCTTAAACTCTCAAACAAGTGTTGAACCCTTTTGTGACTATATATTAATGGGTGCTCCAAAAAAAGGCACAGGACAATAAATGACATTTTGTAATACTGCACATGAATTAGCCAGTGTAAGGTCAACCAAAGCATATATAGAGGTCTTTCTTATGCTGTATAGACATTCAGGCATGATAATTATTGTTAAAAGGGAAGATTCTATATATACAGAACAGATATATAACTTCAATACAATTATTCACATATGCTGTTGGTATATCACCCACAAAATTGCGCAAAATTTCCCAAAAACCTTCACTTTTCAGCCAAAATGGTAATAAAAAAACACTAACCTTTTTCTTGACTTCCTCAAGTTCCAAGTATGAGATTCTCTCCACAAAAAATGACACACTGTCCATACATTAAGCACCAATAACCATTCTCTAATATTCAATGGAAAGAAAAATAATTAGACCCACCCCAAAGAACCTGTACAACAACAAAAAGAAGCCTCATTTCAACACACACTGATGAAAGATTTTTAAAATGTTCAAATGTTCCTCATCATCATCATCATCATGCAGATTGGCATCAACTACCAGCCACCAACAGTGATACCTGGTGGAGATCTGGCCAAGCTGAGCAGAGCAGTGTGTTGTCTCACAGCCACAACAGCCATCAAAACTGTGCTGCAACGTTTGTCCAGAAAATTTGACCTCTTGTACTCAAAAAGAGCCTTTGTCCACTGGTATGTCGGCGAAGGAATGGAAGAAGGTGAGTCAAAACAAAATTTAATGACATATATACTGTACACCAATTAAGGTGACTCAGTTAGCGAACTTAATCAGCACTACACAGGAGATATAGGAAACCATTATTTATTTCCAAAAAATATGTCAAATGAGGAATGCAAAGGTGTAAAATAAATTTTTCTTCAAGTATTTAGCACTCAGCACAGGCTTTCTTTTCAAAATTGATTGAAAAAAGAGATACACAAGGTGAGAACCTAATTTCAACATTCAAAAAATGAAGATGAGCTTCAGCACACAGGCAAGTCACTTCCTGGAAATTTTGAAACTTCCACCAATTTTTCAGAGATACATTTTAAAAAATTAAAGCAGCTTACAGACAGAAGATGCTAATATAAAACCAGAATAGCTGAAGAGAAATTCCATTCAGGGTCAATTTTCAGGTCAACATTCAATTTCATATGCATTTTATTCTTGACATTATAAAATTTATAAGGGACTCAAGTAAAAATGTATGGGGTGCATGTTTCACTACTCAGGGTTAAATCATGTTTCTCCAAATTGTAGGCATCAGCATTAAGATGAGCATTTTACACAAGAACTTGGAGTACAGTACTTGAATAAATACTGTATAAATGGCACCAAGTGAAACATCTGGTCTATTGGCCAGTGTTCCCAACCTTTTTTGGGCCTACAGACCAACAAATTTCCACACACACAAAAAAAGTGCTGATAGGCAAATTCCCAAAAAAGTTCCTGAGGACTGGCAAAGTTCGATACAATTTTTCAGACTTGTCAAAGTTTTGCTTGAAATTTATTACACAGGTATTCACAAGAAAAATTCAGCCAGGAATGTCATCAAACATTTAGAAAGGTGGGCTTGGAGACAGGTTTCTCAGATTGAAAAATCATAATAATTTAATTCAGTTCATGAAAATGTGCCTGAAAAAAACATTTTGTTTTCATCAGATAATTCAACTATCATTGTCCTTCCAAAATTGTATGTAAAGAGAACAGACCTCCTCATGACTTTAGATAGATTGGTTATGCTCTAAATTTCCTGTGGACCAGCAAAAAATTTCCAGTGTTCCCCACAGGTTGGGGAACACTGATCTGTACTACTTAAAACCAACACAGAGTACACCACAGTACATTATTGTACTTCAAGGAATTTCAAATGAAGTCACTTATCTATACACTAAAACCTTATTGTCTACAACAATTTCCTCTGTGCAACAATTTTGTTTTTGTCCAACAGGGTTCTCTCCCCATGTTATACATATACAGGTTCTCTGTAGCGAAATTCTGTCTAGAACAAATATTTTTCTATAGTCCCATGAATTTTGATGCATAAAAATGGGAGGGAATCCTATGGGAAAAATGGTTGAGCCTCTTTCATTGAAATTTTCTCCAGAACACTTTTTTTCTGGTTCCTTGAATTTCATTGTAGGGAGAGTCCTATACTATGTAGAATGACCATAATTTGTTTTTCCATAGACTTCTTCATGTTCTAGATTTTTTTTATTTGAATTGTATTCCGATTTATTGCTGTTCTTTGAAACTGACAATACAAGTGGGACAACTTTACTGAGACTCAACATTTAACACGTGGTATTTTTAGTCAAGAGTCAAAAAGTATAAAATTCAATCCGACACGAAAATATTCAACCATTTCTGACGCAACATTTAAATCCACGGATTCAACCATTTCCAAATCTTCAAATTCAATTCAAGCCCATACGAGAAACAAATCAGAAGTAACGTGACACATGCGAAAAAAGCCTCGCGAACACCCGGAACATTTTCAACACTCACTCAAACAAAAGAGAACAGGTAACACAGCAATGGACACGTAACGGAACAATGGGAGACATCGGGAGATTTCTCGATCCCTGGCTCACAATCGGCCGATTTCAGGAAATTCGAGGAAGTCACGACGGACTTCCTCGGCCTTGAAAGAGGCTTAGCGAGTCTCGGTCTCTTCGCCAAACCGGATTTTGGCGAGACTCACGATGAGCTTCGCGGCAAAGAGAAAAAAATAATAAGCAGAAAAACGAGTTTCCCAACCGGATCCGCGTTCGGCTCGTGACGTCACGCACAGAAATACAGTACCTTTGATTTTCAGAGGAAATCGAGTTTGAAATTCCTTGGATTTTCAGTCGATTTTAGATTTTTGCATCGTCATGGATGATGCATGCGTTATACATCATTTCGCGAAAATATGACTCCTAGAATCACATGACATGAGAATAGAGTAAGGAAATTCGTCACGTACATGTACACCTACAAACGGATCCCAATTTCATTTTTCATTTGTTTATTCAAATTTATAAAAAGCTTTCAGTCAAATACACGAGCAACACAAAAAATAAATAAATAAAGAGGATCTAACCTGGATCTTCCATTACCGCGCAAAGCTTCAATCACTCCGTCCAAAACTGTTTTCCCGGCTCGGAAATCGCCATTGGAAATCAAGCACCTCGCGTTCAGCAGAGATCCTTTCATCCCTGCAACAAAAACTTCAAGACAGGATCATTTCTTTCTTTTCGTTTTAAATCAGAATTTTCAAAATACGAAAGAAGGGAATCGGGAGGCTAGAAGATGCACAGCGAGCTTCATTCACCCCTTCTACACACAAACACAAAAAAAAAGCAAGGTGCACAAAAGAAAGCAGCTTTTCTTCGTCTTCTTTTGTAAAACACAGTCGGTTTCTTCAACGGCTCGAGTATGTGGAGGTGATCCGGCTTTCTTCCTTCCTCAACCACGGGATGCGTTGAAACCCTAAAAATATAAATTATGGCATCTCAATGCATAGCCAAATAAAAATCATAATCCTTGTCAANCAACCACGGGATGCGTTGAAACCCTAAAAATATAAATTATGGCATCTCAATGCATAGCCAAATAAAAATCATAATCCTTGTCAAGGGTGGTCCAGACAATTTTTACCACTTCCAAGCAATTATTATTCTTCCAACAGCAGAAGATTAGAATCGAATTATGACCAGAAACTTATTAAAATAAGAAAAAGATCTTTTACATTACTCTCTGCCAAAACACGCCATAACTCATGAGAAAGATAATACAGTAAAATCTCGTTACAACAAACTTGTGGGGACTTTCAAAAAAGTTTGTTATAACGAATAATTTGTTGTAACAAGATTTTCAATATTAATGACTGGAAACATTTTTTTTTAGCTCAGATCTGCAAATATTCAGAATCAAGTTTGTCTTTCAGTTTCAGAACTCTCATTATTGGTGTAAAAAATCAGTAATTTTCTTATGAACAAATTTCTTGTTCACTGCCGCCAACAATGCAAATATTCTGGCAAAGAATTTTCAATGATTTTTTTTCACCCTGTACATCCAGCTTATAATCATTACTGTAAAGGCATGCAGCAAAGAAGCAAGTGATGGAAAAAATGCACAAAAGTTTAAAAGCACACAACGTAAAATGACCAATAATTTGTGTGGCTTAATTATGTGATCAGTAATTTTCACCAGAACTTTTTTCACACAATTCTCACTATTCCACAGCATCCAGAACTGAAGTGTAAAACACTTAACTGTGTACAAAAAAAAAGGGTGTTGAACAGTCACTGTCCCAGGATGGACTGGAACCTCATAGAGCAATTAATGGTGCATGCATTTTCAAAATTTTTTCAGAGGGCACATTCACTTTAGTTCTTTTAAAGTCAAAGCTGAAGAACTGTTCCCAGGCAGGATGTTTGGATGAATTCTGTGGACTTCCTGGTTCATACAACAGTTCTAACAAAAGTTCTTGGAGTAGCAATGAAAATGGCTTAAAATTAAGCTGAAAAAAATTTATTCTTCAGGGAAAACGTATTCTGTGGCACACACAAAAATATCAGCCCTGTTTCAGAATAAACAATTTTTTTAATTTAACCTGGCAGAGTTTTGCTTTCCACTCAACAGATGAGGCGCCCTTTTTTGATGTGTCCCAGCTTTCCCTTCAGAATTTTTGAAATCAACTTGGCATTCTTTCTAAGGGTTGCCTCCAGGTCATCCAAGGCAATTCCGCCAATTTCATCAACAGCCACCTTCACAGATGCCACATTGGCTGACACTTTGGTGGCTGTGAAGGTGGCTGTTGACGAAAATGGTGGAATTGCCTTGGATGACCTGGAGGCAACCCTTAGAAAGAATGCCAAGTTGATTTCAAAAATTCTGAAGGGAAAGCTGGGACATATCGAAAAAGGGCGCCTCATCTTTTGAGTGGGAAACAAAACTCTGCCAGGGAGAATACATTTTTTTTAACAAATTGAAAAACAGCGCTGATATTTTTTGTGTGCCAAAGAATGTGTTTTTCCTAACAAAAACTTTTTTCAGCTCAACTTTAGGCCATTTTTTTGCTACTCCAAGAACTTTTGTTAGAACCCTTGTAGTTTGATTTGGTAGATTCCAGAAAATGCATCCTACCAAAGTCAATTAGCAAGGTTATTTTGATGGAAAAGTTTTCTTTTTTGGGCATCATTTCTGTACATCTACCAGAAATGGCAGTGTTTCCATGAACCCCAAGATGTCCAAACTATCCTACACCCCTGGCCAGGGACTTTTTGCAGTGTTCATGGGCAGTTGTTTTAATGAGAGGCAGAAAAACTCTCTCTCCTGGGTGGATCCCATCAAGATTTTGAAGCATTTCTGTCCTTTATCAAAA